CATTACCTGCAAATATGTGCTTTAAAATTCTTTGATTAATTTCATGATATTTCTTCATTTTTTCATGTCAATTGGTGATGTCAAAATACTAGGTATAGATTTGTTGAAAAGTTCAATATTAACGCTTTGCGAATATTCGTCGATTGTTTCTACTGATGTTATTGATGGTACAGTTACTAAAGATTCCTGACTTGAAACATTCGTGTTGATATCTCGTTTATCGCAGTTCAATAACTCGTCGCTACTTGATAGTTCGGTACGTTTAGAAAACTGTATACGACAAGAATCACACATTTTTTTATTTAATGTTAAGTTGGTTCTGTTCCGCAAAGCCCAGATCAACCAATTTCTGTATATTAGTATCCGTGAGATTTCGGCAATTTTTCGAGCAACTTTTTTTTAACACCGTTTATGCACTTATAATGAAAAGTATTCATTTTAACTACCACTTTGTCTTCTGAATTACTGAACTTAAGCAGGACATTTTGACAGATACACAACGAATTATATTCTAATGTTGATTACGTGTCAGTTTTGGCTGATATATGGACGTAGGTAATTCAAAACCAACCCACTTGGTACCATGAATTGCTAGCAATAGATAGCATGTTCGCATTTTAGCAAAAAGTTTATACGTATGAGGTGCATGAAAAACGGCCGCATTGTTTTATTTTTATATTTTAGAAGACATTTAATATACTGATGAGCCACCAAGAGCCTATTTATTGTACAATTTTGTGATCTTTCCGAAACAGATATTGTCGGAAATCGAGAACCGCGAAATATATTTATACAGAAATACTGTCACAATTCATATAATTTTCGTTACACAATTTCCTTCAAACTACACTTTTTTTAACGCTCACTGTTGAAATGCTCACAAGCTTACCATGGAAATCCAACAAAACTGCAAAGGTTCCAGGTTTTCGACACAAAATGCTCTCTGTACGTATGCTTTTCAAGCTTTCCCGATCAACTTCCGGCAAAATGACGATTCGATAAAAATTTATTTCTTATGACAGCACAACAAATGCACACTTACCGTAGTGATTCTAGATTTGGGCGTAACTGTTTTTTTGTAAACAATGACTTCTATCTCCGATTTCTCGTGAATAAAAGCTCATTCCCGCAATATAACAACATAATCAGATATAGTAGTGATTAATCTAGCAGTTGGTATAGTTTATTTGCGAAATCGAGTTTTTATTCATTAGAAATTGGTGATTGAAGCTATTATTAGAAAAACAGTTACGCCTAAATCTCGCATCACTCCAGCAGTCTTGCTGTTTTTATTTTGTCAGTTCTCGTTCTCTTCGGCCGATGCTATAGAGAGATAGATAGAACGTATTTTTTGAAGCCCGCTGTGGCGTGGTAGCAAACAAGTTATCTTCAGAGAGCCGAGTGCACCCGAATACCCGAAGTCCGCACCGCTACTCTCGCTCTTGCTCAAGTCTGAATACACCTTAATGTTTACAAATACGAGAGGATCTTCGGTTGATGTGTTTCATGAAAGACGAAACTATCAAAATCGAGCGCTCTTTCAATCGTCCGCTTCACCGAAGCTTGAAAGAAAGACAAGTGAAGCGACGGGGGAAAAAGTAACAAACGATTGAAAATTTGACTGTAGACTGAGGTGCAAGAATGCGGCGAAGCTGCTCGACTTCGACAGAAAAAGAATGCTAGTTCCCAAGCAAAACAACTTGTCATAAGCAGCGTGTAACATACCAAATTGAGTCATAATAAACGCAAAATTCAGCTCAATCAAACGTACTTTCGAGTTTTCCAGTCTCGGAGCACTTAATTTTACATGACATGTTTGTTTACGTCTCATATTTTATGTCAAAGATGGATTCCGTCACGTGTAAGATTAGGTATTTCTAAGTATGTAGATAATGAAAATACACATGTCTATTGGCATATTTGATTACGACGTTGTTCTTGGCATTTTTAAAATAATTTTCAGCTCTGTGTCCTACGATACGATACTGTCAGCCAGTAGTGAAAACAATACTGACGGCATGTGGTATTCCACTACCGATGGGAAGATATATTTTCATCAAAGCGACAAGTATCTTCCTGGGTGAATCAAATGAATGTCCCTTCCACTGCATTCCACCATATATTTTCCACAACCAATTTGCTCATCTAGCTGATACATTCTTTCTTCCCTTCTAACCACCAGGTACTGGGCCGTAACTGACATCGACTATGCCCACCAGCGGACGGCCCGGCGGATAGGCTACATGATCATCGTCATCTGGACCCTGTCCGTGCTGGTCTCGATAGCGCCGCTGCTCGGGTGGAAAGACCCCGAGTGGGAAGCCCGAGTCTACCAGGATCTGCAGTGCATCGTTTCGCAGGACGTGGGCTACCAGATATTCGCCACCGCGTCCAGCTTCTACGTTCCGCTGCTGGTGATACTGTTCCTCTACTGGCGAATATTCCTGGCGGCCAGGAAACGGATACGGCGAAGGCAGCAGGTAATTTCCCCCTTGCTCCAGTCCTCGGTGTTCAAAGTCCCGGTTTTCTTTTTCGTCTTCTCGCAGAAACCAAACAAAAACCGCAAAATTTCGTTCTTTTTCATCGTAATTCTCGTTGTCTCTGTTTTCCGAATTCGATCGGTGAATAAAATGTTGTTTCCATTTGTTAACGTCACTTTCCAAAAGTTCACAAATCCCTCGTGTGTGATTTTTTTTCGTCATTCGTATTAGCGTTTACACGAGATTATCACTCTTCCCCGACCAACCAAACCATTCAATCATTCAAACAACTCGCAGTGAAACTTTGTACTACACCACATCACTTTCCTTACCTTCTCATTTCTGCTTGGCATGCCACATTGAATACAAAGCTCATAATCTTTTTCTTAACATTCATATCCCCGCTAAAAACTTTCGAACAAATTTAATTCCACATCCCTGCGATTTCCCACCATCAAAACTCCAGACAACCCTGAGTCACGAAAAAAAAGAATATCAAAAGTCAATGAAACTGAAACATTTTGCCCCCAACGTTGTGGATGTAACTAACTTTTACACCGAGCAATGAATGGGCGAAAAAGTTTCCATTGCCTTTTGTCCTTCAATCCCTACATTTACCAAAAACTGAGCTAAAGTTTTTCGCTAGTTTTTCCACCACTCCTAGTCCCTTTCAATTGCCATAACACGGAACTGCCGCCACCACCCTTTACCGCCATGCCGTTCCAATGATGCACAGTGGGTTACGCATAGGTTATTGGAGCTTTGCAATTTTCAGTCTTCAACATGATATAGAAATTCGTGCACATCTAAGCAGTTTGAAACTGACCAATTTTCGCACATTCTCCAAAAGTTTCTAAGTTTGGAATATCAGGATAACCCTGTACTTGTCGACCCAGCGACAATCCTGTGGGAGATTTGGAGCAGAGTCAATGTTATAATAAGAGTCCCACCAAGAGTGAAACCAACAGTACCAATCGAACGGTCAAGCGAGGTACCAAACAATACTTCCATACCTTGAAGACATGAAGTCCGGCCCGCTTCATTGTCTGCTGGACGAACCAGACGGAAGAGTTGACTTTCTTGGCCACGTCCCGAATCGAAAGGTTCGGATTGCACTTGAAGTAATCCCTCACCTTTCTTGCGTTCACGGGGTCGATCGTCTGCACTTTTCTTCCATTGCCAGTTCGCCAATGGGTCGTCTGGGTCTCCTTGAACGATTTTACCACACGGGACATGGTCGACTTGTTGATTCCAAACTGTTTCGCGATCCGCTCCCATAATTTTTTGTCGAAGCACTTCATGCTTGGAAGCCATCTCGATAACCACTGTCAAGTGACGAGATTTTACACATATAAACATTACACTCTAAACAAGTTTTACTCAAAATTTCATAAATTTTTACCCATGCAATAAAAAGTTATGCATTTTTTTTTAGTACAATCTTTAATGTGATTTGTAGTAAATTACCAGCTGAAATAAATACTAAAATTCGGTTACTTACAATTCTTTAATTTACACTTATCTGCAAACTAGTGAGAAGCGCATTCTACATCGTAAGTAGCTACATTCGTGCCTAACTAAAACAATAATTGATTTTCTAAATATAGCGAAATCTTTGCCGAAAGAGTGATGGAAGATAACCTCTGATTGAAACATCTCTCTGGCGATGGAGGCGAACCAGCCCAAGGCTGAAAGCCTCTTTAATAAAGTTAAATAATAATAATAATCTCTCTGGCTGCCAAAGTAGGGTGTAGAAAAACTTGTTGTAAGTTTATTAAACTAATCTAAAATCTAAACCTAATCATAAAACATATTTCAGCTCCAAGCTGCCCAAAATGAGACTAGTCTGAGGAAGTTGCACTCACTAATCCGAACACTCATGACAAACTCTCAATGATAGATCCTAAAATAAGAGAAATAGATGGGAAATTCCATGAGTAACTACTCTGCAGCTATTTCGGATCTTCTGGTCAGAGCGTTATATTATTGACTGTTTAAGGCTGTGTTATAAGGTTATAAGGCTGAGTGAGACAGCACTGCACTATTCAATCCATTGCTCTGTACAGACCGTTTGTACCAGACGGTAAAGGGCGAGACCAGAGACGATGTTAAATAAGAGACGCGCGCCAAAAGTTCCAATCGAACCGTCAAACGCGGTTCCAATCGAGCAATGTAAATAAACACGAGCGCTTCACGAAAAAAATCGTGGGATGTATTGAGATTGTTGGTTGTTTTTATTAAAGAGATTTTCAGCCAGACGCTGGTTAACTGTTGAGAATTAATTAATTAAAATTAAGTTTGCGTATGACAAGTGAAATTGGATAGGGAATATTATTGTTATTCAACAGCTGTATTCTAGTTCTCATTAAATATTTGCTCCAGTACAACGAAATACATCTACACAGGCTCTGTAACAAAGATGAAGGCTTTTTCGTTGTAATTTTTCAAGATAGTAAAATTTGTGAAAGACTGTGGCTGTGTTCCATTTGGTGAATTTTCACTTAAATTTGACAGATGGAAAATTTTCAAATAAACCTGCTATTGTACCAGACTTATTTCTGACAGACCAGAAATCAATTTTGACAAACACCTTCTCGAAAATAGGTAGATCAACAACAGAGGGATTTTCGAACATCTTAATTTATTTTCGAAGTGTCAAATCTAAGTGAAAATTCACCAAATGGAACACAGCCTGAATAATTTTGTGCAACGCTCTGTAGAATACCATAATAAAATTATGGTTATTTCGCTTAACGCCGTGTTCGGGGTATCATCCAAACCATTTGTGGAATAGTTCTATTATCGTTATTTTTTATTAGGGCATACCCTCCAATGTGGTATATTTGGTTTCACTCAGAGTTGTCAAAAATTGAGTCTTCAAATACTTCCATTGAATAGCGATACTACCGATACGGTTAAAAAAGTATTCATTTTACCGTAATGCTGAAGCAGACGACAGTCGCTCAAATTAAAAGTCATTTGAAGTACACACACAACAGCGGGTTGCCAAATCTTGCAGAAAAATAAATTAGTTGGCCGTGCAACCAGATTAACTTTTATGCTCTCCGCGCGTCTCTTATATAACATCGTCTCTGGGCGAGACAATAAAAAAGAGCCAACAAAAACATTCAGTCACTCACGAACAGGCGACTCACACCGCTTGCCTTCGCTCACACAGCATGTTATTGAGGCATTTTTATAAACGTGCTGACTGAGCTACTGAATGAGTGCTCGGCTGTCAGTGACTCGTTTACCGCTCAATCATTCAGTATTTCACAAGTGAATGATGAGGTGGATGGCAGTTCATATTCATATGAAAATGTTTCATTAGACTATACTGTTTCGCGCACTGCTTCTGGCATAATTTGGTTCGATCCCGACTCCGATTCGAACAAAATACAATAAATTGTACTTCAACCAATTTTGGTTGATAAAGTATATAAGAAAACATTAAATATTTAAGAAAACATGTGGCTATAGGAAAATGATTTATAGATGATTTCGATTGAAGACAATTCAATGAGATACTTGTTCGCTGATTCAAATATTTGCTAACAAATGTAATGTCGATACAGTGAATGATGCTAATATTCAATTTATTATCTTGACTAGATAGATGGTTCCCGGTTTCGGCAAAACTGTTCAGATTGACAAGACCTATTTTATGATAAAGAGTTAAGTTTAGATTATACTCACCAGGTGGCACTAGTGTGGCATTAATTTTCCATTGTGTGCCTTAACCAGTCAATGCTGGGAAAATATCAAAAAATCAAATCTCACCGCTGATCACGCTTGATTTTCGTAGACAAAAATCGTCAAGCAAACAACTGCAGTTGATTGTGCACGCCATGATATCGCAGCTCGGAATATCAAGCTAACAAATCTCAACAAACTGTGGTGAGATTGAGATTCATGATTTTTTCTTTACACCCGAGCACAACCGAAACTTTCATAACGGCTAGCAGCAGTAACTTCGTGTCTGCCATCGATGAAGAGTAAAAAGAGATAGCAAACTATACTTTCTCTTTCTAAGAAAACGATGTGCAACGGAATCATTTTTGTTTCGAGTGAACTCTCAGCTTGATTTTTGCACGTGCTGAATAGTCTCGCAATATCAAAGGAGCTTGTAAAATCAATATCAAGCATGATATTTTGTTCTAATATCAAGCGTGATATTGAGAGCGTATGAGAGCGGAAAAATATCAATTGATTGATGATTTTGCCAGCTGGTAAACGGCTGGATAATGCGTACCATTGATACTTCGCGTATCTGCAGGTATAAAATAGACCCCACTAGCGGTCCTTGGCCTCTTGTCCAGTAACTCTTATCCCCACCTCCCCGCGGTACCGGCTGGGGTACGAGTAACCATAGGGAAGATCGGGTAACCAACCCCGCTGAGACTTTGGTCGTATGCTGACAGGAAAGGGGGGGGGGGGGACTCCTCTCTCTGGAGAGTGCAGTCTTCGAGCATTTGTTCACCATGGAGTTTGTAGTAGGCATAGATTTAAAGTGGACCCTACACGATTACTTTTATTGACAATAATCGTATTGTCAATACATTCAATATTGACGTCAATACATCGGTATTGACAATATTTCTGTATTCACATCATCAATATTAATGTCAATAATTCCCCTTCGCGTCAATATATTGATACGTGTGGGGTTTGCTTAAGAATGTAATGATAGTAGGCCAAGCCAGGATACTGATAATAAAACGTCATTCATATTCAACTACTCATCGGAACAAGACGTTTTATTTGGAGCTGCTACATTGGCGACGAGTGGTGAAACGTTACCCGTACGTGTTTAAAGACAATTTGAAGTTCATCAAATAAGACGAGGGCGAAGGTTAGAGCAGCAAGGCATCACAAGTCGATTTGACGGAAATTTTCTTCAAGTTGTGAAAATTATTTGAAACGTCAACATGTCCATGGTAACGATTTTTTTTTTCTTAGTAACAGTTGTTTGAGTTCCACTAGTATAACTTGTACATTCA